ATACAATAGCTTGATCTTTGGTAGGGAATTGTTGTTCAATCACAGCAGAAGAATAAGTTTTAGTATTATTTTCCTTTTGGGAGCCTCTGTAGTCAGAAGTCCCGTCAGTTGGGTTTAGCATATTTTCTTTATAATTTAAATTTAATTTAGATCTGAAATACGGACCTGTTTTAGGACAGGCAATTTTATCATGTCGTTATAGATAACGAATAAACTTGTTTAGAGTTTTTATATCAAGCCGACTTATGATAAATAAATACAGTAAATTCCTGTGAAATGACTCTGTTTTATATAATTTTAGAGAGTACTTACAGGATGGATGATAACGCACTTTTATACACTTATATTGATAAAATAAAAAAAATTTTAATCAATAACTACTATTTGAAATAACTGTTTTTGTTTGGAGCTGACAAATTCGCACTAATTAGTATACCTGTCAGGACCGAACTCAGTTCTTGTTTTGTTACCACAACCAATCATAATTAAAATGTCTATAATTTGAGTCTCTGACAAATGAGCCGTAATTAAATTTAATACACGCAAAAATATTATACTAACTTTAAATACCTAAATGACAGCAGCCTACTAGATTCATATCAATAGTTTATTTGGCTTTTTAACTAATATTATTATCTTTAAAGTTTTTTTTTCCTAATGTTTAGCAGAACAGATACGAAAATACCTGATTATTTCTAAAGTATATTTTAATAGACCAGGCAATACTGCTGATTTACAAGTTAGAAAAACGGAAGAAATTAACAAAATAACACCCCGAAGATATACAAAATGGTATATGAGAATTCCAAAATTGTCTCGGTTATTGCCAAGAAGTGAATAATGGTGGTCAAGTTAAACATTTAATTTAATTGTAAAAATTAATTTTCTCAGTTATGATTGCAAAAATTCAAAAAAAACTTTATATTGCGGAACAGAGGACCAAAATCCTTTTCTAACAAGGTGACACACGACCCCCTTTGTTATTTAAAATTTTCGAGGGGGTGCTTATAATTCAAAGGGGATGCTGGAGGGGGATAATATTGTCATACTGTAAATTGTCAATTTAAGAATTAAAATCGACCTGTATCATTTTTTTTCATATAGTACATTATAACGCTAAAAATGTTCATGCTGAGGGGGTTTTGGCATTTAAACACCACGCTTGCCAGGCGGGTTGGTGAGTTGGTTTGGGAAATTGGTAGGATAGTAGGTATTGGGTAGGAATGGGGTTAGGACATGATTTCTCTCCACAGGAGATGAGAGAGAATCAAGGCTCGCGTAGGGCAGGATCGCATCCCTGAAGTAAGTCTATCCTCCACTGGGATTGTGGAAGAGTACCTACCCGCTACCCGCATTAGTTTGGAATCCACCAAATCATCCAGAAGCATACATAAAAAATATCGACGATCATAATAAATTAATAACAGACTCGGTTAGAAATGCATAACTCAAATTTTGCAAAAAAAATGACACCAAAAGTGAAAAGATTAGCAAAAATACAAAAGCTCTCATGGAAATACGACGAAACCTAAGCGAGAACGAAAAGGGAAACAAAGAAGAATATAGAAAACTAAATAAAAGAATTTCAGCGGAAATTAGAAAAGATGTAAGAAGATATAATACTAATGTAATTACTCAAACAGTAGAAGAGAACAAAGGTTTAAAGATAATGAAAAGAAAACTCACACAAAGTAAAAAAGAAATATACAAGCTGAGAGATAAAGACGGAAAGGCAACAACAGATAAACAAAACATTCTGAAAATAACCAGAGAGTTTTATTAAGACCTCTATACCAGCCAAAGACCACAAGACAATTTCCCGACACGAGTAAAGACTCTCATAAATCAGGGATCGGAAATACTTTTACCCATTACTGTGTCAGAAATAAGAGCAGCTTTAAAGGAAATGAAGAACCATCGATCGCCTGGTGATGATGGACTCATTATCGAGGCAATAAAAGCAGGAGGAGAAATTTTATTAAAATCAGTAAGCGAACTGTTTAATAAATGCTTACATGCGCGTACGATTCCAAAAGACTGGAACAATGCAGTAATAGTCTTGTTACACAAAAAAGGCGATATTACTAAATTAGAAAATTATAGACCCATCAGCCTCTTGACACATATGTACAAACTCTTTATGAAAATCTTAACAAAGAGGCTAACACCTAAACTTGATTTCTATCAGCCCAAAGAACAGGCAGGCTTCAGGGCAGGATATGGCACAAATGACCACTTGCATACCATAAAGATCTTAATAGAAAAGTGCATCGAGTACAACATACCACTGGTTCTTGCATTTGTCGATTACGAGAAGGCTTTTGATTCTGTAGAGTTTGAAACAATACTGGAAGCCCTAAATCAAAGCCGAATAGATTACAGGTACACGACACTAATCAAAAACATCTACGAGAACGCTACATCAAGTATACGACTACACGAAGACACAGAAAAATTCAGCTTAGGTCGAGGAGTTAGACAAGGAGACAATATTTCACCAAAATTGTTCACGGCAGCTCTAGAGTCAATATTTAAGAGCACTCAATGGCAAGATATGGGCATCAATATAGATGGAGAAAGATTAAATCACCTAAGATTTGCAGATGATGTTGTATTAATCGCAGATAATTTACAAGATACAGTTTCTATGATGCATTCGCTTAAAAGTCTGTCTGAAAGAGCAGGATTAAAGATAAACTTTGAGAAAACTAAACTTATAACAAATCTCGTAATGAGTGGAAATATAACTATTGACAATAATACCATACAACAAACAGACACTTACAAATATCTGGGACACGAAATCAAAATAAGCAGAGACAATCAAACACATGAAATACAGAGGCGAATAGGCCTAACTTGGGCAGCATTTGGCAAATTAAGCCATATTCTAAAAAGTTCAATTCCCATGTGTCTCAAGCGAAAGGTTTATAACCAATGTGTTTTACCTGTACAAACTTATGGAGCAGAGACTTTAACACTCACGCAAAAATCTGCGAATAAACTCAGAGTTACACAACGAGCCATGGAACGTGCAATGCTGAACGTGAGCCTTCGAGACCACATAACAAACCAACAAATTAGGCAAAGATCAGGAGTTCAAGACGTCATCGAAAGAACCACGTCGCTTAAGTGGAACTGGGCAGGGCACTTAGCCAGAGCACAAGATGGACGGTGGACAAGACGTATTATGGAATGGAGGCCCAGAAACTATAAAAGAAGCCGAGGACGACCACCGACTAGATGGACCGATGATATAAAACGTGTAGCGGGAAACTGGCTACAAGCGGCCCAGTGTAGAGAACACTGGAAAGAACTGAGGGAGGCCTATGTCCAGCAGTGGACGCGATTGGCTGATTGATGAACGCTAAAAATGAATTTATTTCATACATATGAACGTACATAGAACTTATACGTAGCTGATAGAACTTATACGACTGATCGAAAACGAAAGTCAAATATTTGGTCTGCAATTAAACATATCAAAGACAAAGATCATGATAGTGGATAGACTACACAACAATCATCCACACATAACCACAATTGACCGGTTCGAGGTTGTCAGCTCATACTTATATCTGGGATTATTAATCACAAACACAGGGTCATTACAAGAAGAGATTAAACGTAGATCTGATCTAGCAAAAGTTACCACAGCAAAAATGACCAAAATATGGAAGGACTGTCAAATTTCAAGAGCGATAAAGATGAGGTTGATCAACTGCTTAATATTCCCAATACTGACCTACGGATGTGAATCTTGGACTCTGAGACAATCGGAGAGAAGAAAGATAGACGCCACTGAAATGTTCTGTTGGAGACGAATGTTACGAATTCCTTGGACCGACCGCAGAACAAATAATTCAATTTTAAGAGAGCTAAAAGTTAGCCAACGACTCTCTAGTAAAGTCCATCTCCAACAATTAAAATATTTTGGGCATGTTATGAGAGCAAACACAGAAAACATGGAAAGACTCATAATACAAGGAAAGGTAGAAGGCCGAAGATCACGAGGAAGATCCCCAACAAGATGGATAGATCAAATTACAGGAATATGCCAAAGACCTATGCATGAATTAAAAGAAATGACCAGAGACAGAGATCTCTGGAGACGGACAATACACGACATCACGTCGACCACTACACTCCCCCTGGGGGGTCAGGATTGAAGAGAGAGAGAGTCTTATGGTTTCATGAGGGGTCAAATGACCCATTAAAAATCTCCCATCGGCTTTTAATCTAAATACAAATTAAATTTAAATATCATCTGACAGTGTTGCTGCTTCATAACCAATGTTTCGTTTCATCTTTTCGAAATGCGGACGTAGGATATTTCTCATAGTGTACTCGTACACTATGGTTCGTGAATTAAAAAAAAAACAACACTACGTGGTGATAAATTAGGTATAAGTTTGGTCTGAAGCCGTTTCTGTAGTTGAGAAAGTTCATGTCATCATGAAAATCTTAAAACTTTGTTTTAAGTGAAACATTTGGAATGAAACCATTTTCTCATCCAGCATAAACTATGACTAACCGTTGACCACAGGATTTAATAACTCTTAGTTACTACCGTCATACCAATTTTATTGTTATTTTTTATTTATTTATTTAAAATATAATTATATTAATTAAATGTTATTTATGAACATTATTAAATATTTATTTATTATATTATATTTATTTATATAAGTTTTAAGTTACGTAAAAAATAATGACATTTTTATTGTTTATTTAAGAATAGTTCCACTAAAAACTGATGAATCCCTAGATGAGAGTATTTTTGTAATATCTCCTACTACACATTTTACCTGATAAACCCGTCTATTCAGTTGTATTGGTTGTATCGAGTAAAAATCTAACTTAATTGGCCTATTAAAGACAATGTAATATTTGCCGTACAGTATCAAAAAAAATATTAACTTGGTATATAGTAAAACTGATTGAAATAATTTATTACACTTCAATTGGAGCATATTTTTATATACTTTATCTTTTTACAGGTTTACAAGTTGTGTTAAACTCAATTCTTCGTGCCATGGTGCCTTTACTGCATATAGCTCTGTTAGTACTATTTGTTATTATTATTTATGCAATCATTGGGTTGGAATTATTCTCAGGAAAAATGCATATGACTTGTTATGATAATACAACAGGTAAGAGCTGTTTCTATCTAAAACACTGGTTCACATAGAACATGTTTAAATCAAGTTTCGTCAGAAATTCCAAAAGGTATCTTACTAATGTTTATCAATGTGCTATTCGATGGTTAGATTATATGTCGATGTAAGAGATTTTAAATGCAATTTAAAATATATTTTTAGTATTTTATTTTTGTCTTTATTATTGACAATACGTTAAAAGAAAATATTGGTTATTTTTAAATTAATTACGGCATATTCCCAACAATACAGTTGTTAATACAAAATATGCCAGAAAAAAAGAACTTTTAGAATAATTAAAAAATTTAATCATGTCTCCCTGGACCAATCTCTTATGTCTACATGAAGCTTTTAATTAGCCATGTCTTTGTATTTTATAGGTAAACAGATGGATGAGCCTCACCCTTGTGGTGTGGGTTTTGATTGTTCTCAGATAGACGCGAACATGGTTTGTAAAGATGGCTGGACAGGTCCAAACGACGGCATTACCAATTTTGATAATTTTGGCCTCTCCATGTTGACTGTTTTCCAATGCATCACCCTCGAGGGCTGGACTGATGTACTTTATAATGTAAGTATTTAATTGTAATTGTTTGCTATATAACGTTTCACGTTAAGAACTGAACGTTGAATTGAATTACGGAATTAAAATTAATGTTTTCTAACGTAACTAACCAGAAGTGCCCATTGAATATAAGAGATGAACAGCAGGAAAAATTATTTTAATTAAATAAATATTATTTACAAAATTTTATTTTATATTATTTTAATTATAATATTGACAAGTTAATTTTTTTTCGTTGAGAATACAATATGTCATTAGAATCATGGTCATTATAAACTATATCCTCTTACCTCGCACCTATAATGATAACAAGGCTTTATGGTTGTTTAGTAGTTATTCAACTTTATAGGTTAATGTTCATTAAAAATGGAAATTCAAAAATTAAGACTAAGACTAAGATTAAGGGAATATCTTGGATATCCGTGCAAAAAAATTATTTTAAATGTCCACAAGGAATCTACGTTCCTGTAGTTGGCTGTATACCATGTATTAAAAATTTAATTAAAAATCCTTTGTAATAGGTATATATTTAAGGCCCAAACGGGCTAAGTTAAAAAGACAAAACGTTTTAGGGAAACCATGAGTTGCACTCATACAGTCCTCGAAGACATACCGTCTCAGGACTAGCAACTTCAACGTGGAGTCATATGTCGCCATGTTACCTAATCCATCGGTAACTCTATAATCTTAAATAATTATAACATATTTTTAAAACTAAATGTAATTAAACATCTGTTAACGGGTTTTTACCCATATATTTACTCTTGGTGGCTACATTCATGTACTTCTAGACACTGATGATGGAACATGGTTTCCGAAAACGTTTTGTCTTTTTAACTTAGCCCGTTTGGGCCTTAAATATATACCTATTACAAAGGATTTTTAATTAAATTTTTAATTAAATATTTTAAATGTATTTATTATTATCTAAATTTAAAGAGAAAGATTTAAAGTGTAAAAAGTTTCGTCGATAAACTAAGGCTATGACGGGAGTAGGTTCTAGTGCTATTTCTAAAATATGCAAAGAAGCTGCGTAAGGAGGACCAAGGCCCGTAAAATACCAAGTAGATTTGTTGCCGAGGGTCTGTGGCTGGGGTTTTTTCGGTCCTACAGACTTCACGGACTTCACACCGTCTTCGGACTTCAACGGTAGGTAGGTTCTAGTGTCTATGCTTCTTTGTCCTTTGATTTAGGTAGTAAGGTACTACGTATGTCTTGCCACGACACGTTTTATGGTACTTGCCCTCGTAAATGGGAATCTATCTTCAGATTCCCAATACGTGTAACTTTAATCTGAGGTTAAACAGCTCTGTAGCTGTATGATCTCGGTGAGAGAAATATCACAAGTCTAGGATACAGAGTACATGGGTACAATTCGAGCGCTAGCTTCACCGTAAGAATTATAGAAAAAATAAATATGCAATAACGAAATAGCAGTAAAATAATAATGCGTATATAGCAAATAAATGGTTATTACTTTGCCGTACTGTTTAAGGAGTAGAGATTTCGCTAGAAATAATACGAGTCAAAAATATATCAATAAAAGCAGAATAAAATGCAGATTCCAGGTGGATGTGTAAACATCGAACCTAAGAGTATTCAATTACGAGGTGAAACTCGTACTGGCCTCTGACTAGTACTACTACAATGTTCATTTGTTGTCGTAAAAGTAGTGGCGTGACTTGAATCAGAGGTGAAATATTTGTCTGGATAAGATGTTCTTTCCAGAGTGTAGTGTTTGTGTTTTAAGCTAGATGTGACAAAGACCGAGTCTCTAGTTACTATTGTTTCTACAAGCCTTTTTTACGTCTACATCCAACTTCAGAACTAGTGTATTGCACTAAAATTTTGGTATTTTATGTTAACATACAGGCCTCGTCAGCTTTTGAGGGGCGGTTTGCCACAGGTAGCCCAGTGTGAGTGTGTTTGTGATATCATGATAGTGATGGACGCTACCATTTCGATGTTACTTCAGTTCCGTCAGTCGCTTAAAAACCCCCTGTCAACCTTAGAATTTATGCTGGGCACAAGGTTCAGTTGTCGGCCGGATGGCGTTTAGCCCAGTGGCGAGGCTACTTCGGTAGCAGAAAAAGGATCCCTTTTACTGTTATGCTAGTGTGAGTATTGTATCTAAGTATGAGTATTTTAGAGTGGGAATGTGTACGAGTCTAAATCGACAGAGACGAAAACAGAGTTTTTTAGTGACCATTGTTTTTGCAAGCTGTTTATACTTCTGCGACCAACTTCAGAACTAGTGTATTACACTAAAATTCATGTTATTGATGGCTTGCGTTAACGGCTAGGCCTCGTCGGCGTTCGAAAGACAGTTTCAATATCTGCCAATTCAGGTGAGAAAATAGTCGCGGCTATTTTCTCAGAGACAGACAGGTATCACTGAGTAGTGAGATTGAAAAATCGCAAAAAAACCAATCTCCCCATTTTCGGGGTAAGGAAACGGATTGAGTTACAGGTGGGTACGGTAATCTAGCGAAGTAGCTTCATAGATGTCAGCGTATTCGCCTGGGAGTTTGTCAACGCAAGCCTGCATTAGAATGGACGGAATGTGAAGTTTTTTCTCTTGTAGTCTCCGGGTTTTTATGTGAACAGGAAACAGGACCTATTCGGGGTATCTTGGATGATAGAATGGGGACCGTTGATGGTTTTGAGGATAAAGTTCCTGAGAATTTTGATTCTGTCGATGATTGTGGCAACATTTGCGGTGTTATGGATTTCACGGAATAAGAAGTCCCAGAGTTTTCTTCATACACTACGCAGAATCCTGCGCTCCGCAGTGATCAGTTTTTTCCTTTGATAATCTTTTAGAAGGCAATATAAGTTAGACTTATACTCTATAACGGGCCAAATGAACGTTTTATAAGTGAATACGAGGGTTTTTATGTGTGTTTTCTAATTTACCCTGTAAGTGATATGAGGAGGCGGGCTTGATTTCTGGCCTTATCTAAAGTTGCCTTTAGATCAGGTTCCTAGTTAAGTGTCTTAGTGAAAAGAACACCCAAATAGGATGCTGTTGGACTAATATCGAGCCTTAGTCGCATCAAATCTAGGGGGAGTTGACCGTCGTCGCGGGCGACAACTCTGATAGATGTTTTGAGGTTGCGGAACACAATGGTTTGTGTTTTTGTGTAACTCTCTACTTATTGCAACATTCTTCGACGCCATTTAAAAGAGTCTAAAGTTCTCTCAGGAAAATAACCGTTTTTTTTTGTGAGGAGGGTAGTATCATCTGCGCAGAGAAACAGTTGAGTGCCTGGGATGTTTTGATTTAAAATGTTGCTGTTGTATATTATAAACAACAGGGGAGCTAGCACTGAGCCTAAGGGAACTTCAGCATGTGGAGTGAAAGAGGTTGTAAGTTTATTGCTTATTCTCTATTTCGCAGTTCGATTCATTAGGTAATAATGAATAATTTTAATGATTTGGAGGGGTAGTCTGATGTCAATCAGCCTCCGAACAAGCCCGTCATGCCAGACTTGATCGAAGGCCTTTTGTACATCCATAAAAGTGGCGATGGCGATAGAATTGTCGTTTATGACTTGAGTGACTTTAGATGTAAAGTTTATTAATGCATTTTAAATTGATTTACCAGATTGGACTTCATATTGAAATTTTGGAATGATATTGTGGGCTTGGAGAAAGTCGTTGAGTCTATCTTTAAAGATGGGCTCGAAGACTCTCCCTAGCGAATTTATTAAGGATATTGGTCTGTAGGATTCCACATCAAAACGGGGATAACCGGTTTGGGTATCATGATAGTGTTCGCCACCTTCCAAAGAGTAGAAAAGTGGCTATTTTTGAGATATCCAATAATAGTTTTTGTTAGAAGTGGGATTATACTCTCAGGAAGTTGTTTAAGGCACAGTCTACTGATATTGTCGGGTACGGGGGAGTTATTTTCATTAATTTGACAATAACTCCCCGTCTCCCTGTCAGTAAGGGAGGTCATGATCGGGTCGTTACCTGAAATTTGATGTATGAGAGTAGTTCTTACTATTAGTTTAGTGTTGAGTAGGCCTCTCACTAAAAATGTGCGTTCTCTTATCCTCGGAGATTTCTTTGATCTCAGGAATTATGATGTAGAGATTTGGACTTCCCAGCCAGAGAGCCAATCGGCAATTTTTGCCGCTGTGAGAGGTGCTGTCGGTACACTGATTGGTCAGTGAATGATAGCGTCCGACAACAGAGTTGACAGTTCACTTTGTTTTTCTTTAAAAAATTACCGACGACATTAAACAAAGCTTTTGCACTGGTGAAAAAAGACAAATATTTAGCAAACATGCCACGCATAACAATGTGGAGAAGATTCCATAAAATGAACTTTGTTTTTTTCAAACGAGGAGCAAAGTCAACGGTATTCAACTGTACGTATCCGCTTCTTAGTGACATTAAGTTAATTACATCTACACACTGTTGAATATATCGACAGTCTAGTAGAAACACGTACCTGGGAGTTTTAGCAACACTGATCTGCATAAGCCAAAAATTCTGTTCTTAACGTGAAATAAAGTTTAGGATCAATTTTAAATAAAAAAAATGTATTTTCGATAGTCAACATCATTGGAATCATATTGAGAAAAATAAATTGAGTTCATTATAAACTTCAAATTCGATTCTGACAGTGTACATACTCGTAAAGTAAAACAAATTTTATTTTCAGATACAAGATGCATTGGGCAGAACGTGGCAGTGGATTTATTTTGTTTCGATGGTCATACTAGGGGCATTTTTTGTGATGAATCTAATTCTTGGTGTGTTAAGTGGGTAAGTAGTCTTGGTTATGCAGATATATGATCATTTAATAATAATAAAATATTAGTGAGTTTTCCAAAGAAAGAGAAAAAGCGAAAGCTAGAGGAGATTTTCACAAGTTGAGAGAAAAACAGCAGCTCGAAGAGGACCTTAGAGGTTATCTGGATTGGATTACGCAAGCTGAAGATATCGAACCAGAAGGCGAAGATCATCAAAACCAAGACAATAGAAATATAACTCAGAATGAAATGGAATCCACCGACCACATCGGAGAGGAGGAAGTTCAGCAGGAATCTTGGTTTAAACGCAAGAAAAAGAGCTTCGAGAGGGTTAATCGACGAATGCGAAGAGCATGCCGTAAGGCCGTCAAATCTCAGACATTTTATTGGCTTATTATTGTTTTGGTATTTTTGAATACTGGGGTTTTAGCCACGGAACATTACAAGCAGCCACAATGGTTGGATGATTTCCAAGGTAAGTCAACAATTTTACTTATTAATATTTACAATAAATATATCCTTTTTTAAATATGTCTTGGAAGAAATTGTACATGTATTATAAAACAAATTTTATAATAACGTTCAGACTTACAAATCGTTAGAAAGTTTCAGCCTTTTCGCAATATAACTAGAAAAAACTACTTTTCGAATATAATCTCTCATTTTTTTGATTTAGTAGTATTATTTAAGTTTTTGATCTTTTTTTTCTCCAATTAACTTTGACTATTTTCTTGGATTTAGTAGTACATCTAATCGTAACGTAAAAGGTTTCTTATCTCATTTGCTTCTGATCAATTGTTTAAATAACGGTTGATCACTCTTTAATGCGGGATATGTCTTTTTAACTGTAATTAGAGATGGACTGGTTAGTGACTTTTAATTTCAGTTGACGGTTAATTAATTTTACTCACGCCTGCTCACGCACGTGACTTCTTAAATTAAATTTTCTCACAAACACGTGATTGACGTTTGAGTCACGAGCCACATTATAAAATATGCATAAATTAATTTTAATCCAAATTAAATGTAAGTGTTAACATAAAAATCGACGTATATCAGAGCGTTTTTCGTTAAATCTAATAAATGATTGTATTTAGCATAACATTTAAAAAATAATAATCGATGAAAAGTGAAATCTTTTAAAACGCTTGTTTTTAGTAAAACTACAAATTACAAATCCAAATGGTAATTGTTACTTTTACTTTTCATGACTGAAGAATATTACAAATTTATTTTAAACAAATTAATTGTTGTAAGCTTTGTATAATTATAAATAAATCTATATAACATTAAGTATGTATGTTGTGATATCTTAATTATACAGGTTGTTTCAAAAACGTATGTCATAAATTAAATTACGCATTCCGGGGACAAAAATAAATTGATTGAATCCAACTTACCTTAGTACAAAAGTGTACACATAAAAAGTTACAGCCCTTTGAAGTTACAAAATAAAAATTGTTTTTTTACATTAATACAAAAGTGTACACAAAAAAAGTTACAGCCCTTTGAAGTTACGAAATAAAAATTGTTTTTTATATTATCTCCTAAACTACTTGACATTTTGTATTAATAATGGACACGTTACTTTTTTGTTCTGAAATCATTTTTTATACAAACAAGAAAACAACAAAATCTAAGCGCACAGAAAAATTTTAAGGGGGCTGTGCAGCCCTAAATCCCCTCAAACTTTTGAGTACGTTAAAATCAAATGAATTTTGTGGCATCATTAGTTTAACACATTATTTTTAAAAATTTTTGCCTCATTATTTTTTCGAAAAACTTGTTTTTTCCTAGATGGCCATAAAATTACAATTAGTTTCTACGAATACAATAATTACAAACAGTTCCATCAATAATATTCAATAATTTGAAGCTATCATTTATTGTGTGAATAAGATTAATATTAAAAATTTTGATATTACAATGGCCTACACATTTCAGGAAATGGCAGATATGCATTTAACTTTGGGTAAGTTGGATCAGATTAAATTATGATTTTAATAAACTATCGGGAATATCCTAGGTACATGTCAAGGAAATAGTGCAGCAGCCGCAAGGCGATATGCAGTAAAATACCCTAATAGAAATACACCCGATAGACGATTATTTCTGACCATTGATCGTCGTTTACGGGAAAAGGGTACATTCCAACCGCAAGTTGTTAGCAATAGTGGTCGTCCAATAATAGATGCAACTGATGGACACTTAAGAAATCTTTGAAGAAGTCCCTGGAACAAGTACAAGGGTAATAGCTGCTCAACTAAATGTTTCTCATATAAGGGTTTGGAGGGGTTTAAAGGATCAGCTGCTTAAACCCTACTACTTAACAACGGTTCAAGAGTTATTGGTTGAAGATTATCCTAAAAGGATTGGATTTTGCGATTCGTTGTTAATGTAAAACACCCGAAATGTTAATTTTACTAGAAATATTTTGTTTACCGACAAGGCTACCTTCAGTAGAAATGGAATAACAAACCATCATAACGAGCACATTTGGGCCGACGAAAATCCTCACGCCAAAAAAACGACTCATCACCAAAGGACTTTCAAAGTTAATGTTTGTGCAGGAATTGTGGGTAACAATATAATAGGGTCAATCCGTTTCGGATGTTGGAAATCATATTGGCAATCATAACCTTGCTCGCTGCGGCTCGAAACAGCTCCGTTGAGGTTTTCTTAAACCATGTTCTTAAATTCCGCAGCCATGATATTCTCCTTCTACCGGGTCCTCGCTTACCTTTGACTTTACCTTGCAATATAGACTGTAGCAGGGAGTAACGGTGCTGATTTCTCATAACGTGTCCCAGATATTGCAATTTTATGCGTTTGATCGTAAACACAATCTCTGGTTCCTTCTTCATTTTTCCTAGAACTTCCTTGTTCGTGATCCTTGCTGTCCATGATATTCTCAGCATTCTTCTATAAAGCCACATCTCAAATGCTTCAAGTTTTTTAATAGTGGCGTCTGTAAGCGTCCATGCCTCCGCCCCGTACAACAACACAGAGAAAACATAGCATCTCAAATGTCTCATTTTTGTATCAAGGGATATGTTGTGACTTTTGAAGATGGCGCTCATTTTGTTAAAGACCGTTCTTGCCTTTCCTATGCGGCACTTTATTTCCTGTAAATTGCTCCACTGTTCGTTAATAATAGTTCCCAGGTAACAATACTGTTTTACTCGCTCTATCTGCGTCCCATTAATGTATAGATGAGCCCCGTTTATATTCTCCTTGCTGATAATCATTTGTTTCGTTTTGTGGGTATTAATGTTTAGTCCGTACTGTTGACTGTACTCGTTTATTCTGTCCATTAGCCTCTGAAGTCCCTCTAAACTATCTGCTATCACCATGGTGTCGTCGGCATATCTAACATTGTTTACTCTTTCACCATTTAGAAGGATGCCTTCGTCTATTCCGTAAAGAGCCTCGTTAAAAATTTTCTCTGAGTACATATTAAATATCAACGGCGATAGGATACATCCCTGTCTAACTCCACGTAGTATTTTTATGTGATCTGTTTCTTCTCCGTTAATTTTCATGTATGCGGTCTGATTCCAGTAGAGTTCTGAAATTATTCTGAGGTCTTTGTCATCCAGGTCTGCCTCTTTTAAAATGTTTATCATCTTTTGATGTTGAACTCTGTCAAATGCCTTTTCGTAGTCGATCAAGCACGCGTATACGTCGCAGTTAACGTCCCTGCATCTTTGAATCAGTACCTGTACTCCAAAAAGTGCCTCTCGGGTACCCACTGCGTTAATGAAGCCGAACTGTCTGTCCGATATTTGTTCCTCGCACTTCTTATAAATTCTTCCATGGATGACTCTAAGAAACAGTTTCAACATGTGGCTCATTAGGCTGATTGTTCGATATTCTTCGCACTTTTTAGCCCCCTGTTTTTTAGGTATCGCTATGAATTCTGATTCTAGCCATTTATCAGGGATGATTCCTGTATTGTAAATTTTATTGAAGACAGCCGTGATCCAAATTATTCCTTCTTCCTCCAAGAGTTTTAAAAATTCAGCTTCGATATTATCAGGCCCTACAGCTTTCCTGCTTTTCATCCGTTTTATTGCTTCTTCTACCTCGGATTTAAGTATGTCCGGGCCCGTCATCCTCTCTGAAAATGGATGCCTATAATCCGTTCGTTGGTCTTGAAAAAGTGTCTCCAAATATATTCTCCATCTGTCTTTCATCTCTTGGGTGTCAATGATTAATTTTCCATTGGTGTCTATGAGTTTCATTTGTGTTCGCTTTTTAAAAGTACCTGTTATTTCTTTTACCTTTTTGTGTACATTAAAATTGTCATGCTTGGCTTGTAGTCTTTCTATTTCTTTACATTTCTCTACAGCTTCATTTTCTTTAGCTACTCTTATTTTTCTTCTGATGTGAGCCTGCATTTTTTTTATACTCATCTTTATTTCCTTTAATTAGCCTTCTGCGTTCCATTAAATGAAGGATTTCTGGAGTCATCCAAGATAGAATGCATATTTCGCTGTCATTTTTTAGTCACGGCTGAAGTTAAACAAGATTTTAGTTCCTTACTGTACCACTAGGGAGCGGTCATGTGAGCGGTATCATTACTTTTAAAATATGAAAGAGCGGGGAACAATAATGCAACTTTAGATATTTTCTTATGTAGATGCCGCTGGTCGTTTGCATTAAATGCTTTCATTTCAACTTTTAATAAGTGAATCTTTTTAGAAAAAATATTGTAATTCAAATTTTTAATAATATGTACAAATCTACAAATAATATAATTAAAACTCTGTTTTTATAAAATATAAATAAAATTAATGAAAAGTCAATCACTAAGAGAGAAAGCCCAAACAAATTCTACTTTGTTTAAATAAAAAAAAAAACAATTCCAGATCTCGTTAGTACGCTAGAATATCTTTTTAACACATACACCAAAGAATTATTTTTACAATTTGAAAATTTTAAATTGTAAAGTATAATTTCGGATTTTAAAATTAAAAAAATAATAAATAAGTAAGTCTCAAAAAATACCTCTCCGGAGTGCAACAAACAAAGATGAGAAAAGAGGCAAAAATGGCTGCTGGTCCCCCTCGCAACACATTTGCTAAAAAACCAAGGGGCTCTAACTAATCCCCATGACCTAATACTCAAACTAGATCGGGCTCAAGTAGACCTGATCAATAACAAACTGGACAAGCAGTTGATGATGCTCTTATCGGAGGTCATAATGAACTTCTACAGTTCCATAAAATATCGTCTAGCCAAGGACCCTGTGGGTGAACTGTGTTAACGAGTATACAAAAAATGAACTACTGAAATGCTGAGGACTATGTGGGTGGGAGCAAACTTAAATATAGTTGATCTCAATAATATGCCCAAGCCTCCCATGATCCTCACCCGCGTCCACGACAAGGAATCGGATAAAGAAATCATCAGGATCTGTCTAAAGAGGCAAAATCAAAACCTTAAGATAGAAGACTGGTTGTTTAAAAATCG